TGTTCTCTTTGCCATGGTACCGTGTATCAACAATGCCGCTTTAAAAACGATTAATCCCTGAGAAGGTACCTCGATTTCTGCGTCAAATAATAATAATAATAATAATAATTATATAATATCAAAGCAGATATGTTTCGTAAAATTGAATAAACCGGCCGTTCACCGGAATTTAACGGGAGTTACACCAACTTTAAACAGACAGGTACATTTGATGGCGTATCGAATCTTAACCACCGATTGATTATTCCGTGTTCAAACCAAGGGATATAGAGGTTCTGGAGGAGGAGAAGGGGGGGAGCGTGTTGTGAGGCAGGCAACCATGTTAGATCGGCACAGTCAGCATAGTTTAGGTCCAAATGAGAGATACCAAAATAGTGGAACGAAATAACGAAAACACCTCCCTTTTTGGAGGAGGTCAAGCAAAAACAGCAGCTCCTTAGACAACGTCTAGTGAATTCCACCTCTCATGGACTTGGGAGTTGACATCTTGGACCTAAGCAACACTCGTTTAGTCGTTTTATTTGGAAATCCATATTTGTGCCCTTCTCTGTACATCCCACCCCACCCCACCCCCCTCTCTCCCCTTCCAGCCACTGTACGTTTTCCTTGAAAAGGGAAAATTGTTTAACAATCAAAGCTTCCTCGGTTGGCGTTGGCGTTACGCGATCTTAATGAACGACTCAGGGTTATCAATGCGAGGAGAAATTAGACACTGGGCGCCCTTAGGATTTAAAGGGTTAAAAAAGAATGTTTCTGAGGATCTAAGCAGAGCAATTGAACGCCGGTGAACGGCACTTCGACAATCTTCGCTGTGATGCCGAAAAATCACGAGTGTCACGAGTGTTTGAATTCAGTACCTAATAAAGTGATATCGATGACATAAGAAGCAAGAAAGCCTGATCTTGCCTGGGAAACCACCTGGTGCTGTGTATACCGAAAAAGAAACATGGAGCAAAAGAAATAATTCCCTATTCCAGGGAGCAAGAAGACATCTGGTTGAAGTGTGCATTTCCACCGAAGAGATTCAGACAGCGGATTCCCACGGCATAAGAAACGCAATTTTTATTTATTAAATATGGCGGCCAAAAGTGGAGAGCCGAACCATGAAGACAGTATTAGTGCGACTGCTGTCGTCAGCGAAGCAAGATGTCTTCGCGAATTTGTGAAAGAAATCGCTCCAAGTATTACTGTTGATAATCTGAAAGCGATGAAACGGTTTCTGCGAGATGTAATCTCGTTGAATGTTGGTGTTGAATCTGACTCCGGGGGAGAGCTCATGGCCACTCTTACGACTTGTCATTGTGTGAACGACTACGATTTGGATCTTTTGGAATATTTACTTGGTGTAACTGGAAGGAATGATAATTTAAATACGCTGCGGGAGTTTAGGAGGAAATGCTCTCCAACTCTGGGCAGTATCCCGGAAGAAAGAATCAGCGAAATCTCTCCAGGTAGGATAAGATTAAATTTTTAATTTAAAGGCACATCTGATAGGAAACTTACGAAACCGTATCTGCCATTTCTTTGGTTTCTTTTTTGTTGAATGATTAGGTCCCAGAAGAAATGTTATTTGATGTAATCCTATCGTTAAATTATGCTTTACTGACTGTTTTTCTTGTATGATCATCACGGCAATTAACATGGCCTCAAAGCAGTCATTACTATTTCCAGAAAATCTCCCTTGCTCATAACTGATTCTGTTTGGC